TAAGATAGAACTTCAGCACCGCGCCGCACTTCTCGTTATATTTTTATCTTAGACATCTACTTCTACGGTTCCAGTTCTCATTATGATCTCAATCTAGATTTCTCGTTCTACTTCTATGTTCATTACTACTTCTCGTTATATTCTAAACTTAGATATATTTTCAATTTAGACTTCTGACTAGTCGATTTCTCGTACAATCCTTGTCATTTTCTTCTGAAGTTCAACATCAACTTCGATATTAACGTTACTTCAAGATGAACGTCAACACCGAGATCATGATCAGTGTTCACATCCACATCCATGCCATAACAAGGACCAGAACAGCCCAATCTCGTGCGGGACCATTAGAACAGTTTTGGTCGACGTATTTCTACCTGTCGTCATGGTATTTAGAGTGCAAATACCCGTAAACACGCGAACTCACTCACTCACACACCCACACTATATTTGTTACGCGTTTTTTCTTTCCACATCCATTCGAACCTTGTAGAAATTAGCCAGTAAACTTAATTCATTCTTATTGAAAATCCCTAAAGTTCTTTTCCATTTACCACCTTTCTCCCTTCGCTCTCCACTTTATTGGTATCTCCGCGTTTTACACCTAGCGAAACAGCGATCTTTGAATTCTGATCGGTTGGACCGCCTGCCTTAAATCGTTGGGACCCCGCTTGGTAAGGCCCAGGATCGCTATCATTGACACCTCCTGTGACACAGACCTGCCCTCCTTGGTTACCCTTCCAAGTCATTACCTCATTGGAAAGAGATGTTACGTAGGTACCTTCCGTACCCTAAAATAGGAAAAAATCCGTTTTTTTTATTAACCGGAGTCAGCCATGGAAATNAGCCTTTCGTTCGCACCCCCTTTTTATTCTTCACTCTCCTAGATCCCACCAGAGGAATTGATCTAGCCGCTCGGATCAATCTCCTCACAAACTCAAAATAACCGTTACGCGCAAAATTTGGGTAATCTCCATCCGAATTACCCCGGCCTCGCATCCGCTCGGCCGCCCCGTAACAGAGAAAAGGAGAACTGGGCCCTTCGTGGTCCTGGAATGAGCCCTTCGGGGATCTTTCATCTCCGCTGGTTAATCCTTCAGGAACCGTCCAATGGGAGAGTGAATGTGGGATGTGGGCCAACTCGACGTTAGAGGAATAATTTTGCATTTTTTAAATAATCCAAAAGTTTGTTTAAGCTCAACTTTCTCTTAGATGCCCTATATATCCATCACGTATCGAAACGTCCGCATAGGACTCAGCTGAGAGGCCCACATATTTATACCCTATTAAACCTTGCGAAATCCGAGTTGCGATTTATCGCCTCAAGACGTCACAGTTCCTTGGTATCCTATTGGTAGACTTGTACGATCATCTGATAATATTGTTGAGAATTAATGTAGAAAATCTAGTGTCTTTCTGTCAATTTACATAGTCTATTTATCTGGGTAGATTACTTAAATTTAGTATCTTTGGATAACATTTTTCAATTTGTCGCCTGTTGAGTCAAATTTAATCATCATGACTGCCTAAGGTGTAATTGTCGAAATTAAAGATTTAGATTTCAAAATCTCGGATTAAAATTGAGTCCCGTAAATTCACTGTAATTTTAGTAGCGAATTTCTGACGACAGTCCTTTTTTACTAGATAGAAATATTCATAAATTTCTAACTTATTAAATCAGGAAATTTCGATTCCAATCAGAGTAACTAGACTTCAGAATAAAATTCTTTTATTTGAAGTTGTGCGTCTCGAGTGAGACTTTAACTTTTCGAATGCCTTTTCCTAATTTATCGGTGTCAGTCTAATAATTAATTGAAAATATTATTATTCTGAGTCTCGTAACTTTCATCAACCTATTATTGTTTCTCTTGTTTTACGGTTTTTGAGTGCATTTAAGGGGGTCATCCCATGTGAAGGCTCTTTTTTTTAGCGTTTTTCGGGAATTTTTTTGGCGAACTAAATAATCATACAACTGCGAACTTTTTACCACATATTTATTCATATTTTGAGCAAACTTTACAATTTTTTCAGCCCGAAATAATATCTCATTGCTGAAGTACACGGCAATTTAGCCACTCATTTTAAACAAAAGTGTTTTGCGGTTGCCACGATTGCGGGCGTTCTGCTTATCTGAAACAAAAAAATCAAACGGCATTTTAATCTGCAAAGTATGAGCTAGTTTTTGAACTAGGACTATTAAAAAATATTGGAAGGTGAACTTTTGGCATCTTGTTGAACATTTTTTCGTGAATTTTCGTGTTTTTTCACGACTTCTTCAACGGGGGAAAAAAAACGGCTCGATGGATCAGAATTATCCAAGTTTGCAAACTGCCTACATGTGTACTGAATAAGTCATTAAAATTTCAAAGGAATTCGTTCGATAGATTTCGAGATATCGTGTCTACCGATTTGAAAAATAAAGTTTTGACAAGAACGCGTTTAAAGGTTCAAATACGATTATCACCAATAAAATTTCGACTCACCCTTAATCTGCTATGCCTGGTCCATAAAGTGAACCTTTAGTTTCCTCAAAAAATACTTGCAAATCCGATTGTTGCTCCCTGGCATCAGATCTCGCTCTTTTATCGAAGTCGCTCGTGCGTCGTTCGGAGTGGCAGATACGCGCTTCATTACGGCGATCGGTGTAAGCTTGAGTTACGTGGCCAATTTGGCATCCCATTGTAACCAAAACTTTCAAAATGCCATTAAATCCTTCATTGAAGATAATAACGGCAAGAAAAGTTGCTATTTCAACAATCTTTGTGCCAGAATGCAGGTGTTTAGGAGCGAAAGTCCAGATCAATGAATTCAATGATTCAGTGTTATGGTGTGTATGTGCTCCTAAACATTTGGCCAACAGTTTATCTCGTGATAAATCTTCGTAGACTGGTTTGATGACTTCTTGAACTTGTGCAGCCAGAGGGGGCTTATCGTGGTGGAAATGAGTGAGTTCTCCTCTGGCTTCAGCCTTGCGCCATTTGAACCAGCTGTCTTCGCCTGCTGAACAATTTTGATGTTGAGGATTTGCGTCTGTAGAACATTTGTGGTACAAAGTTGCCCAAATTTCATTCTTCATTTCTTCTATTGAGTTTGCGCGTCGGCGAATGGCTAAACCGTAAAATTTAGTGAGCTCGTTAATGAGCTTATCGTAAGTTTTCCAGCCCCTTTTCCACCAATTCCTTTATTATTTTTCTTAGCATTCCGGAGTTGCATTCCCATTCTCTTCTCGACATGTCCTACACATTCTTTTTTCACTACTAAATGATTTTTTGAAGGGCCCAGGTAAGAAACCGAAGCGCTAGAAACGGAGTCCGATGCTCCACCTGGCCTGTTCAACGCTGTAACTTCCGAACGACATCGAATATCAGAAAATCACTTTACCTACATATTCTGCACTATATTTGGATGCAATTCATGCAACAAAAAAATTCGATTTTTTTAATCGATCACACGGGATGACCCCCTTAATCCATTATTGCTCCGAGCATCTAACATGGGATATAAGTTCTGAGTGCCATAACTTTCATCGACCGAATATTTCTTCCATCTTTATTAGCGAATTGTTTAGTGACTTCTGTTCTTAAGATTCACGAGTTCCTTTTGCACACCTGTGAGCATTCTGTCATCCAAGACCGTCGGGACGATATTAACCAGAAAATTCAGCATATTCAATTGTTCTCGGTAAATTGTGAACCATCATCATCGCTTGTCATCCCAACTTGATTTCATCTTCGAATTAATTTCCTTCGTTTCAATAAAATTCTGAACTGGTGCACTGATGGTTATATTTTGTAGTTTCTTGAAATATTTTTTTGAACTTTTCCTTGTACATGGCAATCCTAACGTGAAGAGTCGGAAGTGATCGGACCCTTACCAAATCTAATCAAATTATAATTGGCTTTATCATGCCATGAAGAGCTAACTGGCCTCTCGCACACAGAAAACCGAGAGCCTTTGGGTTAAATGGTGTATTTTGAGAAAGTTGAGGTTCATCTGGGAGCGGGCTCCGGACCAACAATTTCGTGCCCTTCACCCTCGCCTTTCGGGATCGCTCTTGCGGGAAAGCTGGGATCCAAGTAGGGAAGGGACGCCGAAGGTCACGTAGAAAAATTTGTTATCCTGAGGAACCTGACGCCCACCGAGCATTTTGAGTCAATTAGATAGGCCTCGGATAATCTACGAGGATAAGGTACGAGGTACTCGATAATCATTAGTATCGGAGCAGCCTATTTTGCGATTAATGGCCCAGAAAAATGAATCGCCAAACGAGAATCCCATAAGGCTTACTCGTTGCAATACATATAAAATACGAATAATATCATATATGAAAAATATGTCTAATATAAAGCTGTTGAACTTGTAAATATAGATATACCATCTGTTGAAATTTTTATATACGATTATTGTACATACATATGTCTATGTAAGATATCTTATATACATCTACTATACAGGGTGTGACAGAACTCGTAGTCACGGTTTACAGTGTGCTATTCTTGTTGAAGAAGGAGTCGAAAAGTCCTGTACTGTTTTTTTTTAGAGTGCATAAATTTCCTGTAATGACTAAGTGAAGCACAGCCAATCAATCGCGTTACCAACGGAACGCATAGCGAAGAAGACGCTGGAGGGCTGCGTTTGGCTGTCTGCAGAGTAGCAGTCTTACCGGCGTCCTCCAATATGCCTGCCGTTCGGAAATGCGATTGATTGGCTGTGCTTCACTTAGTTGTTACGAAAAATGCATGTACTGTAGGAAAAAATTAGTACAGGACTTTTCAACTCCTTTTTCAGCAAGGATAACGCTGTACAAACCGTGACTACGAGTTCTGTTACACCCTGTATACTTGTTCCGAGTGGGACTGGTTGAGACGTTTTTCGAACGGATTCGAATATTCTCGTCACACATTATATACGTATGGTGTTTAATATATATTTCAATAAGATATGTGACAAATCTATTAATCCTTTTTTCCTGAATATGACCGTATTTTTGCTTGTGACAGAATCTGGGACAAAGTTACAGTAGGCGCGTATAAAATTCTGGGATTTGTCGCGGCTGTAACATTGATGACTATGAGACGATTTCTGCTACGCAGCGAAACAATAGAAAACGTCTTGGAAGCACTTGATAATGTAAGTCTTAATTGTATATTTACATTTTTCTGAAACTGTATTGTGAGATATACATGATCTTTTATTTTCATATACATGATCTATTATTTTCAGATAACCGAAGAAACATCCGAGGTGATTGTGAATAAAGCAATTGAACTATGGCAGCAAAGTGGATCGGCCTTGGTATCGATGTCACAAAGTACAGTGAACATAGTACAAAGTAATTAATTGTCCGCATCCGTACAATTTTGAACATGTAAGGAGTCTCTTCATTCTCTAATGCTTCATATAAAGTCGAAACTATTCTGAATAAGTTTTATGATAAATCGCTGAGTAGTGTAACAGAATTTGCAAAATAAAACTATATCCATTTTACTGTTACATCACGTTCAGTGGAACTATTACAGGGGAAATTAGTAATGGAAAATCTTAGAATCGGAATTTCAGAAATCCATTGGAGGATCCGTCGTTTTATTCGAGATGGTTTATCTCAATTTGGGACTGAGGAGGAACCTTGGTAGTGTAACAGGGCGATTAGGGAGCGCCTGCGCGAGACCGAAATCGACGGCGATTAGGGAGCGCCTGCGCAAGACGCGCAGAATTAGGCGGTACGAACTGGCCGAGAAGTAGGAAGGAGCCGAGGAGTAGGGAGAGGCCGCGAGACTCCAGGAGACCTCGAGTCAAATTCTAAAAGATAGATTAGATTTGGATATCGATGGGGATAGTCACCCAATCTCATTAGAAGTAGAATAAATTGAGGTCCCAATTGGACATAGGTTTAGAAAGTCAGAATAGGCAGGAGAGAAACCGGAGTCAACCGGAATTCAGAAATATTTTTGAAATAAAAGTTACAGAGGAAGCATCCTAAATTAAATCCCAAAATCCAGCGATCTCTGCCATTGAGGTAGCCATCGCATCCCTAAGTCTAAATCCTTTTGAACCTGATCCTGTGCTATGGCAGCATCTTCCAAAAACAGGAACATTAGCGCGTGAAAAGAAGAAGAAAAGAAAAAGAAAGGAGCCATACCTTCGATTGACAGAAGTCGATCGAAGCAGGTTCACATAAAAAGAACGAAAAAGAAGTGTAGATCCGTACCTTCGGCCTTGTCAATGCGACAGTTCTGAAGCAGGAACTAACACTATTTTCAATTGTGAAAGACAGCTCGGACTCTATCATTGAGATTGCCTTCGATTAGCCGAACTTTCACAGTTGATTAGAACAATCGGAGCACGATGAAGTGCAAAAAGAACCTACCATAGAATATCCTATCAAACCTCAAAACCCTAAAACCAGTGGATATCCGAAGCTGGATAATCTAAGTTAGAGTTGACACTAACGCCTGTAGAGCAGTACTCCAGGCATCCAATCAATTAATTCAAATTAAACTCGAGAATTGTCTGAAATCAGAAATTAACCAAAATCCAAAATAATAGGATTCCGAAATACGTAGGAAACCAACCCATTTGCACCCACACCTTCAATCCTTTTTATCCGGATTCGATGATGAACAGTTGGCGTATTCTCATTAGATAAATCGTCAATCTGAGAGTTCAATTCCTATCCAAATTAAATCCATCGCAACAAGGTGAAAACAATTAAATAATCATTAATCAGGCTTGCTTAAGAATCTCGGAGCGTTCGAGATATCGAAACACGAATTCGATCCGGAATTTCGGCCTCGATCAGCTGAGTGAGCGACGCCTAGACGTATAAGAAACCGAAACATTGCCTGCGCGGCACGAGACATCGCGATCCTTCTCTAATTCGCACGCCTGCCTCTCTCTTACTCGGGTCTTCGCACCTCGGAAATCGGTGATTTAATTTTCCCGAAAAGTTCTGACGCGGCTCGGACTCACCACAGTGTGGAAAAGACGGTGCATATTGCTCGGCCAAACCGTACCATTACAGTAGATTGAACGGTCGCGAGGTTAACAATGTTTATAACTGCCAAATAGATCTCGAATAGCTCAACCTGGTAGGATTCGGTCATTAACTAAAGTTTTTGTAGGCTGACTTGTATCGGACCTTCTGGGAGACCGATCTTAATTCCCATCTCTTTTTGGAGATTCGACTTAACCGCATTTGACATCGTTTGTATTATAACCACTGAAAAGATAGATGTGAGGGAAGAAATTAAACGATTTTTTTTCTGCTACCTTTTCTAGTGTGCTTTGCTTCTTTTTTTCCCTAATTGTATTGTTATTTGTTTATAATCCTGCCCGAGTTACTCAACCATTACCCCCATTGAAGATAACCCTGCACGTTTTGGATTGTTTGGCTAGTATGGAGTAGCTCAACTAGTGTCCCGTATCAGTAATGGTATTAATTGGGAAACAATTGACTCCTTCGCGAATGGGCTTTGTTTTCAATAAGTAATCACTGCCCATTGTCTTGTTGGTAACGGTAGTGATTGGATTAAGGTAACTCGACCCGATTTCAATGAAAGGCCAGCTCTTTTTTATAGAAAATGTTAGTGGATAAGGCCCAAATGAAGACAAGAATAGTAACGGTAATGAGTTGTTCCAGTGTTAAGGAATTCGTAGATGTAATACGATTTGTAATAGTTCTAAATTTAAATGGATTTATGATAATGGTAATAATTTATTCTGAAAAAAATGTTTAATTGAAGAGAAACATAAATAATTTTAAAGTTAAGGGAATAAAATTAGTTTTATAGCATTCTTGTAGCCTCCACTGACAAGGAATGTTTTTCAAGTGTCAGCTTTCAATTGTTTTGGTTCTTAAACATGTTTTAGAGGGCCAAAATGTAAGAAACAAGTATATTTTTTTGTCCGTTTTCATATTTAAGGAGTTAAATAGGCTTTCAAGGTTTTAAAAAAGAGGTTTAAGAATTCTTAGTTTAAAGCATAATATGTTGAGTAAAAGCTTATTGTAAATTTACTATACGTCATAACTTGCTTGGTACTGTGACGAATGAAACGAATTAAAGGAGGGTGGTATTGGATTGTTTAATAGAATTTGTTACTTCCTATTCCCGATAGTATACACTAGCATGTAAGTGAAACCACACACTGGGTTCAAAAACAAATCGACGCAGAGAATATCGGTGTCACATAAACATAAACGTAGGATTTAGATAGCGAAAGAACCAAGGGTTCTTTTGTATATAGCCGACAACGACTTGTGGAGTCTGTGACCCTAACTTGCGTTGCTAGTCTCCTGGAGAAGTTCATACCGTACAGATGGTCCTTCCTCGTGAAATTAAATTAAAGAAATCAAATCAACTTTAATATTGAGTAATTCATTCTCCCATTTCCATCAGGTGGTTTCGAGCCCACAGCTCCCAGACGATCGCTCGTCACCTTCCCGATCGTCCAGGCGGAGCCATTCGAACTACTCTACACGATTCCAAAAATTCCACCAGGAACGAGACTAAAATTGAGCGCCAGGCCTCCACGGAAGCCAAAAGACAATTACTCAACTCGCAAAACTCTCGAACAACAGCAAAACAATACTCAAAATATTGGGTTGTTCGGAAAGTAATTTCGTTTTGTTTTTTTTTATGAAAATGAGACGATTTTTTACAGCGAATAAATATTTTATTGAATTATATATTGTCCATTCTGGTCCAATACCTTTTGCCATCTTTCTGGCAGTAGCATTCCACGCTCATAAAATGTTTGGTTTTTGCTATCAAAAAACTGATCCAGGTGATTTTTGACCTCTTCATTTGAAGTAAAGGTTTTACCGTCTAAAAAATTGTGTAGAAACCGGAACAAGTAATAATCAGAAGGTGCCAGATCTGGAGAATATGGTGGGGGTGGCAGTATATCCCATCCAAGCTGTATAAGCTTTTGACGAGTTAAGAAACTTGTATGAGGTCTCGCATTATCTTGGTGAAACACTACACCTTTTCTATCGATCAATGCTGGTCTCTTCCGTTTAAGTGAATCATTCAATTTGTCCAGCTGGGGACAGTACACTTCAGAATTGATCGTTGTGTTGTTCGGTAGAATCTAAAAAAAACGAATCCTTTGAAATCCCATCAAACGGATACCATCACCATTTTTTGATGAATTTCGGCTTTCGAAGTTCTTTGAGCCGGTTCATCTTCTTTACTCCATGATCTCTTGCGTGTAACATTGTTGTAGACAACCCATTTCTCGTCCCCAGTGATGATGCGCTTCAAAAATGGATCATTTTCTTGAATGACACAAATTTCTTTCCGTAAGAACATGAGGATTCCATATGTCGAGCTTTGAGATTAAACCAAGGCGTTTCAAATGATCATGAACGGTCGAATTCGATAAATTTAATCTCTCAGCGATTTCACGAGTTGTTATTCGCCGGTTTGCATCAATTAATGCCTTTATTGTGTTTTCATCAGCTTCAAGTGGCCTTCCAGAACATGATGCATCTTCAATATCAAAATTGCCAGATCGAAATTTTGCAAACCAGTTTTGACCCTGGCGTTCCGTCAATACATCTTCTCCATACACGTCGAATAATTTTTTTCTCGCTTGAACAGCATTTTTACCTTTTCGATAGTAAAAAACTAAAATATGCCGAAAATGCCGCTTTTCACTTTCCATATTTGAAAGAGTACCAACCAAAAACTACTGCGTAGAATCAATCAAACTTTTTCACAAGCAAGCCTTGCTAGATCAGCTGTCAAAATATATAATGCTTATGCAGCTTAAGTGTGAAGTTGGCCGTGAAAAAAAAAATTAAGTCCTCTGTTGGGAATCAACGAAATTACTTTCCGAACAACCCAATATTAGGCTCGAACGATCTCTCCGCCTTGACATCCGTCGTGGGGCGACCTACTAACTCAGAGTGCACGCGCCAAGATTCGGAGAGGGGTAAAACCAAACTGCGGGGAAAACGGAGGGATCCAGCCAATAACAAAACGAAAGCCAATCGAGTAAACAAAATTCACAATTTTATGTTACTAATAAATAAAGTAGAAAAATTTGTTTAACAGATTAGTCGCGGTAACAGAAAATTATAGCGAGGGCAGGGTTTGACGGAAGGCCGTCCCAAAGAAACTATGGTTGAGCGAGGAATCCTCGCCAGAAAATTACTCGAGATGCAAGTTCAGGATGTCGGAGACAAAATTAATCCGATCGGGAATTACAGAAGTACTTGATATTTTAAGATTGGATGGGACTCGAGACAATTCAAACTTTGGCTAAAAAGCGAAAGGGGTTCGACAAATCAGAGTTAATTATTATTATATCGACAATTATTCGTAGCTACTCGACGCTTGGAATGACAAATAGACACAATAAAAAAAAAATTAAATCGGCCCAAACCAAAAGAGTTCGCTAACTTAGAAAATTAATCGCGAATACGCGACGTCGGGGAAAGCTAAACGGGCTCGTAATTCTCGGAAAAGAAATTCTGCTCAAACAAAAAT